ACAATGGATTCTGCTATTGATGTATTTTTAGGAAAGAAAACGCTCACTCAATAAGATAAGTACCTAAGTTTCTTCTTTAACAGTGACCTATATTTTTCCTCTTACTGTCTTACTAGTGCCAAAAATAGACAGGTAGCTTTTACCATTACTTTTCCTGCCTATGTATTTTAAATAGGAATTATGTAATTAATGTGTAATGGAGCTATTTTCTGGCCTGGAAGCATGAACATTGCATTTCTGGAAATTATAGCTAGGGTTTTAAAAGTGCCTGATGGAATGAACTGTCAAAATCTCACTGAAATTTAACCTGATTTTGTTAGTAGCTCTCAAGGGCTGGTTTTGAATGCCCTGTTCCATACATACGTTCTTCTACAATTTTTAAATAAAGTTTATATGTTAAGTGGAAAAGGTCTTTTGTTAAGGTTTGTGGTTAATTTGAGAATCTCTTTCTTGTTTGCAGAATTCTTACACTGGGACTTGGATTTCTTATTATCCCTTTTCTTCCTGCAAGTAATCTGTTCTTCCGAGTAGGATTTGTTATTGCAGAGAGAGTCATCTACCTCCCCAGTATTGGATATTGTATTCTGTTTACATATGGATTTAGTCTCTTGAGTAAGCAAGCCAAGAAAAAGGTACCATCAAAACAATCAGTAAAGTTGATAATGAAGTGCTTCAATTGAACCATTTGTTTCTTAACTTCTCTCTCTTTCCTTAAGAAAATCCTTGCTCTGGCAGTACTTGGAATCTTGTTGATAAATGTTATGCGCTGTGCACTCCGCAGCAGTCAGTGGAGGTCAGAAGAACAGCTTTTTAGGAGTGCACTGTCTGTATGCCCTCTGAATGCAAAAGTAAGTCACTTGTGGACTTCTAATTTTTTTTTTCCGTAGTGTTTTGCAATCTGGGATAGAGGATGTGTTATGCATAGTTAATATATTGTGGTACAGTGTTATTGACAGTTTTGCTTGGTGCAAGAATATGACGTTGACATGGCAGACGCCTAAATTACAGTGGTAGCATAGTCAAAATATGAGATAGTGTAAATTACAATATTGTAATTCAGAGCTTGGGGGTGGGAGTGGGGAGGGGAGGGAGAAGGGGGAGTAAACTTTCAGGAAAGGCATCCGGTCAAACTGGATGCACTGCTAGTAAAATCTACTATAACAATTGTGCATATAATTGCAAGTTATTATAACAAATTACTGAAAAAACAGTAAGTAAATTGTAGCAATATATTCACCTGATTAATGTATATGCTATGTTTTTAGAATCCTTTTTGTGTACCTTCCAGTGGTATGTCTAGCCAACGCAGGTAAGGGACAAAGCAGCATATCATCAGTGTAATCAACAGGATGTGGGGGCAAAGTCTTTGCGCCCACTTCCACTCTTTTACAGTGGCCGAATAGGCTAGTCTGCAGACGTGGGCACTGAGCAAAAACACAATATTCCCTGCAAGGCTTAGTGAGGGAACAAGTAAAAGGGTGGGACTGGATAGGATGTTTCACTGAGCTGAATACCAGTGTTTGGCATAGTAGACTGAATCTAGCCTGCCAATAGAGGTGACCTCCACAGAAGTCCTTTGATAGCTGAGAGTGTGATCTGTTGGAGCATACCACAGAGCCCTGATGTTGTCTGAATTTTAGCAGAGAGGCTCTTTGAAGAGCCTAGGAATAGGTATGTGCAGCTTGTCAATAAATATGCATTGATGTTTTAGAAGATTAGATTTCTGTAATCTGGAGTGGTATCTAGACAGTACAAGTGAAGATAACATTTTAAAAAAGAACCTGTGAATACTGAACTTTGCAAAGAGACTGATAAACTTAGCATCTACTGGAATACAAATACCATTTTAAAAAAGAACCTGTGAATACTGAAATTTGCAAAGAGAATGATAAACTTAGCATCTACTGGAATACAAATATGCAGCAGTGAGCTGTAAAAGACATTTATGGCCAATATTTACATGGTGGTGTCTTTCAATAAGCTCAGATTTCAATACATAGAAAAAGAGCTGTTTATTTTATTTATTGTGTGGCAGTGGTAGGCAACCATCTTCTTTTTAATGATGACCTCAGTATATCTTGTCTTCTGGATGACAAGCGCATACTATAAATGGAGCAAATGCAATCTGTTTCTTTGTGTGTAACTCCATCCGTCTGCCATGGAAAGAGAAAATTAGACAGATCCACACTCTTTGCCTGTGCTCCAAGCTCCTTGGACTCAAGCCATGTCTGGCTGGGAAGCTGTGTAGCTGTGTTCGCACAGTGCTGTGCTTGAGCCGATAAGCTGTGTGCAAGCTACTGAACTAATGCAGCTGGTTCGAAGCCAACGAGTGTACAGGGAAAATGAGCTTGTGTTTGTCAACACTGGGCCGCATAGACATGCCTGAGCTCTATTGCGGCTAGTGACAGCTTGCACCAATGGAAAGTGTGGTGATGTGAACAGGGAGGGTTTTGTAGACTCATATTCCGATTTTGCTGTAGGAGTAACCTTGAAATCACAGTAGTAGGGAACTTTTCTAGGCAACAGCATTAGAGAGTCCATTTGTGAGAGCCAATCTCTCTTTTTTCTTTATGGGCTAAGCTATATTTATTCGATTTTGACAAGGTAAATGTAAAAATCGGAACTAGGTTCTGTTCTGATCTTCTGTTGTTGTCTTGAAATTGCAGACTTCCTTTAAAAATGACTCCACAGGACTTACTTTCAGTGGCTCATTTATTTCAGTGGGAGGCTGATGCAGACCAAAAGGTGGAACGCAGATAATAGCTTTTTCTTGTTGCTCTTGAAACATCTTTAATATGTGTAACGTGGTCATGCTTTACTTCCCTTATGTAGCAGGGTCCCAGAATTTCCAGGGTCTCCTAACTAGCAATAAAAGCTCCAGCTCCTAGTTCAGGTTTTATGGTACAGCTCTTTTCAATTCCAAACTGTCTGTATGTGAGTCGTCTAAAGTAAACATACCTTAATTCTAAGTAACAAGTAGTTACAGCAGTGCCTTCTCTATTTTCAAGACTCATCTTCTTTAAAGATCTCTTTAGATAGATGTGTGGAAACTGCATTAATCAGATTGTCTGGCTTCGCAGTGAATCTACCCCCTTGAGTGACTGATCCGTCTGACTCAAGAGGATGAAATTTAGGATCAACTTTGATAAATGTTGCCTGGTGATTTTAAAATGTATTGAAAATAATAGGTACCATAATGAAGTTACAAAGATTTTGACTTTCCAAAAAAAAAGTTCACAATACAGATTTTTAAATATTTTAAAATTTATTTTAAATT